TATTTTTTTAATCAATAAAGGCAAATTTGTTTTTATCCATCACTTAGGAGTTTTAAGTATGAATTTCTGACTTCCTAAGGTTTTTCTTTGAATTCGACCTCCCGCTATGCCAGCCCTTTCATCTGAACCTGCGTGAGACATCTGTGAACACATTTTTAGCTATTTTTTAGTAATTATAACTAAGATTGTAGTGCAGGTTTTTTTTATCAGCTTAAGGATTACATCGTTTTCTGATAACGGAATTCATCTCTAAGTTTGAGGCTTTTCCGTTCTTTTTGCATTTTTTTGTGACGTCACAGGAATGACCAATTAAGACAGGCACGGCGTAGGCTGTATTTATAAATGGGAGGCTTGGAAATGAGTGGCGGAGACGACAATTTGTAGGGGGGGGGGGCAGCCTATCAAAAAAAACTGTTAAATCTAGATGCTCGGACATGTTATCCATCAGATATTCTTTCGGAAAATTTCCGACAATTTTTTGTTTAAAGTTCTAGCTTCTTGAATTTATTTTTCGTTTTCTTCCTCTTATTCTTTAAAGCTGAAAGAAAATAAAATGTTCTCTTCGCAAAATTTAGGAGGGCAAAAGCCCCCACTCCTTGTTATGTTAGTTAACTACCGTTTGAAAAACAAAATCAAGAGACAGTTATGGACACGTGGAAATACGGGATGGAAGAATAAGAACCTAAATAAAAAAATTTTAATGAACAATTAACGATGGTATCTCAGAACAGAAAGAAATAATTGTTTGCAAATTTTATCCTCAGAAGAAGAAATCTCAACCGGTAAAACTTGCGGCAGTTTGTGCTTCGATGAGAAATCTTGCATAAAATAGCTAGCAAGACCAGGGACAAATCATCCTCGGTCAGGGTAGAAGTTTTCAGTACTATAATTAATTAGCAATGAGATTTTTCCTGATAATGTTTCTCTTATATTATTGAGACTGAAACTTTTCTCCTCGAGTAACCCTCCATCGAACGGCCCAAGCAAACATGGCTGTATTAATGAAACTCATGAAAGGACTATGAGCCACGCTTCACTGTGATTGGGCAGAAAGACACAAATATTTTCTGGCCCCAATCAGAAGCCAGAACAATTGCAACCGTTTGGAACTGGTGTGATAATACAATATCCCCAGGGACTCCTTGTCCTGACTTGAAAGGAACTAAGACCCCCTGGATCTCTGAGGATGAGGGAAACAAGAGAGATCCATCCATGTTAGTACAATGACAATTTGCTCTTCAATCGGGAGGGGTAGGGGGATTTTGAAAAATGGCATTTTTGGGCAGAGTAGGCAGGTATCTCAATGTGATTTTGATCAAAGCTTGATTCTTCATAACATTTTCATTATTAGTATCATCATGATCATGATCATAATTATTATTATTATCTTAATTTTCAATAGTGTTGCATTCAATGTCAGGTCAGAACCCATCAGTAAGTAGCTATGAAGCTATTTCTCAATACTAATGAAGAAAATGGACATAAACACAAAAATGACATTGAATTTATTAAAAACTATTTGCATTAAATAACTTTTACACAATAGCTTTTAAATTTATAAAATCAAGTTTTTCCATGCATTCTCAATATCTGCTGAACTTTTGCAGACTATAATATTAGGGTTTGTCTGCATTACTGCATTTTTTTGAGGTGTCACACAACAACACTTCCCTGATTCCTTCCAGAACAATGTTGTGTGACATCCCAAACAATGGCCACACAAGAGCCTATGAAAGAGTCCATAAATTTTGATGTTAGATCTCTTGACAAGTCAGCTGCATTTCAAAGTCATGAATTAAATCCTATCAAGTTGTATTCTCTCCTTTTAATGACAATTACAGGGTAGGCGAAGCATATGATAAACATGTCACAATTGTCAAATATACAATATACTTGCACAGTTATACATAGTAGAAGAGTTTGGGACTAAACAACAAATTAAGAGTTTTGATAAATTTGGTATGTGGCTTTTATTTTGTAAGAAAGCTTTTTTTAATATGAATGGGACACGTCACAGGCTACCCTCATAAAGGCTTTAATGTCAGCTTTCCTTCAGAGTTTGCCAGTATCCATTTATATCTGGGGCGGAGAGAGTCGCTGTGGAAGTTACATGTCCTGCCCACGAATGTAATACTATGACCTTGCTGAGTCTCAAACCTGAATATTTTTGACCTGGAGACCAGCACTTAGGCAAGCCCTAATTTTTCCATAGTTAGACCCTCTCAAATAAAAATGTTTCTTTCAAGCTGTATGCCATTCATTTTGTGAGAAATTACTTGACAAGAGGATTTGGAGTTGTATCAACTAAGATGACAACCCTTGGCTAATTTTTTGGTCCATTACCATCACTAGTAGATGGAAAATGTAAGAGGTTACATTGGTAAACACTACTCTTTGAGCTGAAAGGTTCACATGCCAAGAAAAGTCAGTCTCCAATCAACCAGACTACCATCATAATGATGATGCTTTTGCCTCTTTTAAACATAAAAAAGCAAGATCCCATCACCGGATGAAGCGATTCAGTTTCACAGGTCAGTTTTCTGTCCTTAAATGTTCCCGCCTTTAAACAGACTATGAAACTTATTTCAATAAACTAAATATACTTCCTGATCAGCAAGCAACCTGGTTGCTGTGATCATCCTCAAGTGATTTTTCAGGACTTTCCTGGTTGTCTGTAGAGCCTTGAGACTTCTGACTCAAACAGTCATTGATCTGACCAATAAGTTCTGCACTGACATTGTTTTCAAACAAAACAAGTTCCTGCATTTTTGTGGGGTAATTAGCAATAACAGCAAAAAACATCTCTGCTCCCTTTTCACTCACCCCACATCCTTCCAAATCAACAATTTCTAGTGAAGAGCTTGCAGCCAGGGCAACAGAAAGCACACCAGCACCATAATCACCAATGTTGTTGTAGTCAATATAAAGATTTCGTAACTGTGAATTTGCAGCAATGGCTATGGCAAGTTGGGTCCATCCCAGATGAGAAACTCCATGGTTTGCTGACAGTGTAAGTTCAACTAGTCCCTCTTTTCCTTCAGTTGAGGGAAGAAGTGTACAAATTTGTTTGATACCATCATCTCCGAGTTGGCAATCACCAAAATCAAGAGATTGCAGTCTGGGATGTATCTGAAGAGCAGGCATCAAACACTCCAGGCCCTCATCTCCAAGGGATGTACCATGCAAGCTACAAATGCAAAATATAATGATTGAAACATGTGAGAAACTGCCAGCCATCTACATCTCCCAACCCCAATATGAGTATTTCTGTGTGGACTCCAAAAGAATCTTTAGCAGGAAGGAGAAAGGAGGTGGTGTTGTTGGTGTAATAAAACTTACCTGCTCTTGGTGTTGATTTATGGAAAATTTCTCAGGGAGCTGAAAAAGACTGAATTTTGCTGAAGAAGAGAATTTTGGAGGGGCATGGAAAGGGAACCCCTAAACCTGAATCATTGGATTGTTTCAGTATGATTGCAAAGGAAATACACTTATAGAGAAATGTTTCAATAGACCTATTTACTGAACTGTTAAGTTCCACTTAACTGAAAGCTTTGCATGTGTTCTTGAGAAAACTTGCGGCATCTCTCCAAACAATTTTAAGATAAAAAGTCATTTGAAAGGTGCTGTGAAGCACGAAATACAGTAAGTCGGGCAAAGAATGATAACTCTTGTCGACTTCATCACTACAAGTTAGTGTGAAGTGGTGGTTGTAAGTTAAAGTACAAGCTAAATCGAATGGTTGTACTTACAACAACGATGTGAGATATTTATTAGCAACCAAAGCCTCGGAGAGCCATTTGATTCGGTGCTTTCCGTTGCATACTCCCAAGTTTAAATTAAGCTGAGCAAGAGATTCGCATTCTTTCAAACTGTCCATCAACTTCTTGAAATCTTCGTCATGAATTCTACAGCCCCGTAGAGACAGGATTCGAATGCTGTTGTCGTGCAGCGAGTCACAAATTCCCTTGACCTCGGCGTCCCTAAGATCTTCGCCAGTAATTTGAATGGTTCCCAAGAGCATTTCCGTGAGGTTGTTAGTTGATATATAAGGCAATCGTAAACAGGATTCAAATAAATTCGTCTCTTACTCGTGGACTTGTTCAATAGATTGCCATAGTTACCATTCCAACCGAGTCTAAATAGGGGCTAATGACTGATAGGCACAAGAGACTGGGTTCAAGCCCAGGGTCTCCGAGAAAGAAAAATTATCAAATTGACAGGAAATTGAGGAAATCAGCGAGGATTGATGGATGTGAGTTGGCCATTTCAGTATATGAACGAATCAGTATAAAAAAAATTAGCGAAGCATAATTTCGAAATTTGTGCAGATTTGAGCGAGGGTGCTCTAAAGTAACATTGTTTTAAAAAAAAAATTTTGACCATGTTCTCTCCATACCTTTCAGTTTGCTACCCATATAAGAATACTGGTTAGAGTCACTGTGCTGGTATCACACCATTTGAACTCTTGATGAACATTTTGTTCATTTTCAACTCCGTGAGAGCAATCAACTCATGTTTCCTGATAATAATTCAAACTACAAAAAAATCCTGTTTGAAAAATCAAACTCAACCTGGGTTTTTGTTTCTCTGAAATATAAATTGCTGATAAAGCAAACCAATATGTATAAAATTTAGAACTGTCTTGCATATGGAATATAATCTCATATAGTCTTGTTTATTTCATCTTGATATTTTCATGGCTTAGAACCTGCTGGCCTATCTACTTCCAAGTTAAACAATCAAATGAAGTCTCAAGGTAATTTAGTGTTAACAACTGGGTTGAAAACGTAAATTAGCCACCGTAAAGGGTAAAAAAGCTGACGTTTCGAGCGTTAGCCCTTCGTCGCTCTGACGGTGGCTAATTTACGTTTTCAACCCAGTTGTTAACACTAAATTACCTGCTATACTCTCCCACCGACGCAGCACCACAGTTTCTTTAGAAACTTACCCCTTTATTCAGAAGTCTCAAAGGGTCTTAAAGAAAGTGCACACCAAAGAACTCTTTACTCAAGCATTTTACTCTCTTATTACTGTTACAAGCTAAATTATGAACACTTGAAAAACCACACTAACCAGATAGAGTAGCACATCTTTTATAGCTACAGAAAAAAAAATAATTATAATAATTACGACCATAATGATAATGATAATTAAAATTCTGATAATGGTAACAAGAAAGATGATGATAATGATAATGATAAAAATCACCACTAATTATAAGTTATTATTAGTGATGAATTAACAGTGGTCATAATCGCTATCCCTTTAGGAATATATAATCAGATCCTCTCCCTCTAGATAAGTAATACTCTTAATTAGTAATTTGTTTTCTATTTTTCATCTTTCTTCTTCAAATTTCCCCACATGTAATTATAAAATATTTATTATTTCAGTAAAACCATGAGCAGAAACCCTAACCTGCACCACCTGAGTTAATTAATAATTTCTATAATAAGCAATATGTCTAAGAATTATTTGCTCTTTGAATTTTCATGCAGCTATATTAATTAGCCCTTATTGGCCTTTGTCAACTGTGTTTTTTCTTCCTGTTTTTCTTTCTATGTAAACAAACAGCAAGCCTAGCCCAATCAAAGAACTTCAGCTACTTTGGCAGCTGTATATCTATATAATAAAAACTAATATACATGCATGGTATGTATTTCTAAAATACAATCTGTCATCATTAATAAGAGAAATTTCTGCAAAATATCTTCATTTGTCCATCAACATATTTGTTCAGTTGATATTATCACTACCTAATATATTACTATCATAATTATAACATAACTATTTTATACTCCAAACAGAGCTAAAAATTCAATCAACATTGACACTAAATTAGCTTCACATCTTCCAACATGCCCACGTCATAACTTCCAAAGCTGAGATTCTTTCTTGCTGTCACAAGCTCTGATCATAAGTTTCTTGGTTGTAATGTCGACCTCAAGGCATTTATTGTCATTCTCATCATCCCCTAACATGATAGCTCCATTTTCATGTCTCCATTTCTGCCATAAAAAAAGTATGCTGTTTACAGTGCACTACTTGGGGGATTATAGGGAAAGGGGGATGGGAGAGGGGGATGGGAGAGGCAGATGGGAGAGGGGGATGGGAGATGGGGATTACGAGAAGGTGATGGGTGAGGGGGATTACGAGAAGAGGACTGCAGAGGGGCAGAATCTCATCCCAATCAAACTTTTGATTGGCCTAGTAATGCATTTTTTAATAAAATTTTTCTCATTGGGAATGAAATTAACTGTTTCAAAACTTACCTTGGTCTTCCTGGTATGCTGTATCTTGACTTATTTTTAAGTAAGTCCTCATAACAATATCATTTGCAATACAACTAGGGCATATTAATTCATCAAACACCCCCTTATGAGAATAAAGCAGCTAATTTCATAACAGACATTAGGGAGAAAACAATTAAGACCCCAGGGGTGACTAGCTTCCAGGATGAATACATTTGGTGGTGATACCCCTTTAACCCTTTGACCCCTTTGAGTGACTAGAATCTAATTTCTCCTTACAACATAACCCTGAATCTCAGATTAGGGTCACAGGAATTGAGGAAATGATCAACAACTAAAGATGCTCTTATTTTGATTGTAAAACAAGTTCTTGTTGTCAGGACCTTAGCTAATGTACGGTGAATAGTAAGAAGAATATACATACTGATGTTAGGTGTCTAGGGTCAAACAAGAATAAATATGACCTCAGATGTCTGAAGGATCCTTTAATTCAAAATCATCACTATCAGCTTAACCCTCTAACTCCCATAAGTGACCAAGACAGAATTTCTCTCTACATTATTTATAAAGTAACAAGCAGACAAGTGATGAGAATAGAGAAAAATATCAATTTTGGGTTATTAGCTAATCCAATACCAAATTCTCTAAACTAACATCATAAGAATTGTATAGCAGACAGTAAGGAGAATTACTCATGTGATCTTGGGAGTGAAAGGGTTCACTGACACTGTAAGGATGAGAGAGCTGGAAAGCACACATTGCTTTGGCATGATACATGATAGAGAGCTTTCTGATTGAATGCTGTAAAATCAGATTAAACCAGTTGAGAGAAGTCACAACACACACCAATCAGTACAAAGAAAAATAGCCTAAAGAGCTAGTAAATACTCAATTAAAAGTAAAAAACAAGCAAACTGGCTAAAGCCCAGCAAAACAAGGATGACCAAGTTATAATTGGTTTAAGTTTTGCATCTGATTGGTTGATGCATGAGTTTTCTCAACAAATAACAGAGCAAAGTAAAATAAAAACAATGTAATCTTAGATTGTTTACAACACTCAATTGAATACTCTCAATCACATATATGCGTTCAGCATGTTAAATGTTCTTTTCAGCTGAGCAGATCTGTCACAGAGGAAATGAGCTCTTACCTGATTTATGTCATCAGTATCACATGTTGCTGTCTGTACTGAGCTTCCATAAAAACCATCAGCAGACCTCAAGCAAATGTCATGAACATAGTTTTTGATAAACCCATTTGATAAAGCCCAAGCCTATCAGAGGAAAACAACAGTGAGACAAAATAATCACTACTAATAGCATAAGAACCTGAAATAGAATCCAACATTGTCCTCAGAGGTTGAATAGCATGATGACGTCATAAATATCATGTTCCTCAAAGGCAAGAAAATTCCAGTTTCTCCTTATATTACCCCATTTTTGTAAAGAATAGAAGTGTAATTTAGAAAAAAAAAACCATAAGAACCACTTTCTTTTAACCCTTTAAGTTCCACTGGTGACCTTGACAGAATTCTTCCTTAAATCATCAGAAGGATATCAGGCAGACAAGTAACCAGAATACAGAAAAATGTAATTAAGGGTACTATTGGTTGATCCAATTCCAAATTCTCCAAACTAACATCAAATGAATTGTATAGTAGACAGTAAGGAGAATTACCAATGAGATCTTGGGAGTTGAAGGTTAAATGACACTGTCTTTCTGTTTAACTGTCTATCTTAAGAGTGATTCAATTGCAACATAATTGTAACTTATGGGGTTCAAGCCTTAGGATGAAAAAAAAAGATTAAATACAGAAAATTTTAACTCAAGGCCTTTGATGATATAACAAATTCAATCTTTCTCAGACTTGTTTCTAATATCAATTAAAAGTAAAAATAAAATTTATTATTGCACTGCATATCTAATAATAAAAGAAAATGAAATGTATTTTTTTTAAGTGGCAAAAATAAAAAACAAGAAGTCATTTTTATGTGTAATCAAACCAAAAATTAAAACTCATAACATTATATTTAATTTTACCAAAGGTTTAAGTGTCTCAAAAAGGTAAAATTAAAGGAGTAAGAAGCAAAAGAAGTTATGAGCATACAAAATGAAGAGAAGTTCACCTGGTTTCTTCCTTCACCATGGCATTCGTACAATTCAACATCACTTCCTGTTGGCTTCTCCACTGAATCAATACACATTTCATTTTTAAAAGCACTTGATCTTATATCTCTTCCCCTAGTTCTATAATCATTCAAACATGTAAAAAAATTAACAACAAACACATCACCAGATGCATTTAAACTCAATACAAAATCAAGTAAGTTTAGCGAAACTTTAGTTGGTATAACTTTCCTAATATACTCTTTAGGATCTGCATGGTAACTTACTTCAATTGAGTGTTAAAAAACAGATCATAAAGTGTACATATTTCATGGGATACAGATAGGACTAACATTTTTCCAAGAATTCCTTGCATTGAAGAAGAATCAAACTTTCCACAAAGATGATGATATGGAATTCAGGAAATTTAACCTACATTAACTTGTAAAATTTTGGCCTTAACTCACTGGTTATGGAGATGACACACTTGAAATTTGATATAAACTATGTGTAATGCTGATTTTAATAGAGATTTATGTAATATGTACTGGATCCAAAGCTGAAATCATGGCAGATTCATTAAAATAATGAAGGAGTCACTTCTCCTTGATATTTGGGACTGGCTTGGTGGGATAATGGTCAGTACACTGGTCACTCATGGTTGAGAAGTCTGGGATTGAGACCTGACCTGAGCTCACTATATGTTGTGTTCCTGTGAAAGAAACCTTTATCTCATTATTCCCTTAAAAAGCCTCTCTCAACTCAGGACTTATAAATGGGTGCTGGAAAATTGTTATGGATGCCTGGTGAAATGCTGGAGGGTAAAGTTGCAATGGACAAACATCCCATCAAGGGGGAGGGGGGAGGGGGAGAGTAGCAATAATCCTAGTCGCTTCATGCTAAGGAAATCAGGATAAGCTCTGGCTGGGTGAGCCACTTAGCTGACCAGTACAGAGTTTACTTTAATTGCTTTTTTTCTAAGTTTATTTTCTTATCAAAGATTAGTACCTCAATGATGTAGCTGTTGGAGTATATTCTTCAACTTTCTCCTCTTTATTTTGATTTACTCCGTCACTTAATACTTGCAGAGCCTGCTTGGCTTTTTGGTGCCTCTGTAAAACTGCCTCTCCTAGCTTTTTGACCTTCTTATCCAAACTAGTCACTGTCTGATTTATCTTGTCATTGAAAGTCTTCATAGCATTAATAGTAGCCTTTTTGCTCTCATTCACCTTTTCACTGCAGATTGAAACAGTTTTTGAGTTTCACACAATAGTGCACATAAGATTTACTGAAAAGAGATACTGATTTGGAGACATGAAAAACTAAGATGTGGTATGGAAACTGACAGAGGTAAATGGATGAGGTGAACCACAATCATGGCAAGTCAGTAAGGAAGTGAATGCAAGGTTCATGCCAATCCACTTATCATCCTGTGCATCCAATGGTACAAAGTAAGAATGAGGGAAAATTGGTGAGATGAATAGTTTCATCTACTAAATTCCTCATAAACTTTAGTAAATCATAGTCAGATTGTGGATGAAAAAAATTTATATACCAAGCATACAATCTGTTCTAATAAATTATTAGAATAAGGCCACAACAACAAACTTTTTCTGTCCCCATTCTTTTATGTTGTGCGCCAACAAAATGATCCGTGGTCTAAAACCCTTTACACCCTAACATCAGAATTCATATTCTCAAAACTACTCCCCATACATTTTTTATGGTACTGACAAGAAGAATTTGACTGTATATTCTTGTGACATTCAAATTTGATTCATCAGGGATATGAACGAAGACATAAGATACCAATCTCTCTTAGACGTCACTTACAGTCAGGCTATTAAAAGACTTTTCTCTTTATCCCTTTAATTTTCCTTGTTGGAGGTTGGTGTAAGATTAATTAAAAGAATTAAAAGCACTGAATATTCAACTGAAAAATTTGAATTTGGACTCACCTCAATAAACTAATCTGCTCTTGAAGATAATTACCCACTGATACCATCTAATGCAAATGGGGAATATAATTGAAATTAATGCATTATGTACAGATGGGTCATCTTGTTTCTTAATTCTCCTTACTGTCTTAACCATACAGTTCTTGTAATGTTAGTTTCAATTGGAAAAATTGTATTGAATCAACTTATAATTCCCTAACTGATATTTTCCTTTATTCTTGTCTTTTGTCTGCTTGATAATGTATTGATATTGTAAGGAGAAATTCTGTCTCGGTCACTCATGGGAGTTGAAGGGTTAATCTCTTGACTTTGACATTAGTCACAACCTTGACTGGAATTAAATTCCTATGACTAATTAAATTACCATGCAGTGCAATGGCAGACTTTTTCTATTTTTCTTTACACCCTTAGCTTCACACTCATCTCTCCCTTTCTGTAAATTAGACGGCAGTCTCCATGTTTTTGGTTTTTTTTTTAATTTTTCGGAGGAGGTCAAAAGATACCAGCAAAATATGGAGCAGAAAAAGGTTTATTTTTTTCTTTTCCATGAGGAATTCAATCTCAGACCTTCAATTCCCATCTCTGATGCTCTACCACTGAACCACAGAGACTCAACAATGAGCTTAAGGCTACTGTGAGGTCTCCATTTGACTCACATCCTGCACAGTTCTTTCTCTATTTCTAACCAAGCTTAAAATTTACCATCTTTCTTAAATTCTATTTATGTGCATACATGACATTTTCAATTTTGCCAATCCTAGCAGAATGCCAATGAAAGTGCTGACCAATGAGATTCCTGGGTACCATATCCTTTTTTCTTAAAAAAGAAAGAATGGGGGGGGGGGGGAGGGTGAGGAGGGGGAAGAGGCAGGAATTAAAACAGGAAAAAAAAAACGTTGATTGTCAATCAACGGGAAGAGTTCCGTTTGATCCCAAACTATTCTTAACCAAACCTGTACTCCCAAAAGCTTCTCATTATCTTCACCATTGTGTGGGGTTACACGGAATTCTTGCCCTTTTAAATCAATTTCAGTCGATACTAGTCAGTCATCTTTTATAGGCCAGTCGATAACACGTGAAAAGTACCTGCATATTTGTGGTATCATAAGCTCGCGTCCAAAACAGCGTCCTCCACACAAAGAAAATAACAATCCAGGTAACAACGCACAGGAAGATCAAGATTTTCCTCTGCATTTGGCCACGGCATATAAGCTTTACAAAACTTAGACACGGAGAATCCTTTGGGATCTATTGGCCACTTGCAGTTGAACCGGCGCAAATGCGACTTCAATTTCAGATTTCAGTTACACTGTTCCTGATTAGATCTTCAACGATAAGTGCATACAATCTAATTGACCTCGAAAGAAGAGGAAACCCGTTTGAAGTTTCTTCTTGGAAACCAGTAGTTGTGTACATTAGAATACAATGAAAAATTGAAGATCATTATCACTCTGGGAAGCGAGGTTGGGGTCTGGTAACTAAAGATGGCGGCCAAGTTACTGGATGCGCCGGATATACTTTGCAACAGCTTGACATGAAAACTTTATACTTGTTATGGCTCAAAAGGATGACCAGTGGATCCGTCTTTTTAATGTATCGGACCCCAGAAGAGCTTACGCCGGTCACACTTTGTACAAAGTCACTTCCAAGGTATCTGAATGTATCTTGTCGGTAAACGCTCTCTTCAGCTATTCCTTTCAATTTAGATCTATTTTCATCAGTTCGTTGAAAAGTAAATGTTTTACTTTTGTTCTTTATATTCATAGCTGAGAAAGTAACTTTTATCTCATTTTGATTGCCGTTTACTTAAATTTATGGGGAAATTTAAGCTTGGAATGATTATGCCTGATGTGATAATTAAATAACCCGTTGTCGATTCGATCGTTACATACGATCGATGTTAACATTGATGTTTCTCCTGTGTAAGATGCAATACCCCTATTTCTACATTCATAGTCCCCATTTATCACTTTCGATCTGCAATTTTACAAAAAAGAAATTTCTGATAATGTTAGTCGATACGTTGTAACATTCAAGACTACATGCAGTGTATACTGCTGTTTACCTGTCATGGTTTTCCTCATTTGATTCAAGGTTGTCTTTAGAGGCTGGTTAGGCTTGCTTCTCATTACTGGGTATTAATGTTTTTCATTTATTTTCCATTTGTAAGGTTTTTCAAAAGGATTTTCCTGAAGGAGCGACAGAGGTTTGTTCATTCTAAGTGCATGCTGTGAAAAGCCAGTCTACTAAAAAATGTTCTTTTGTAATGATCATATTAATTGAAATATTTTCTTAAAATATAATTTCAATGTTATAAAGTTAAGCTAGGTTAAATTTCTGATGTTTTCGTGGATAAGGGTCATTTCCTGAGCAGCAGCTGGTAATCAAATAGTAGATTAAGCTAAATAAGTGATAATTTTATCAAAAACTTTAGGAAATTACTTTTTCTGGAAGAAACCTTCTAGTTGTAAATAGGTAGACAAAGAGTGACCTATTTTAAATGTTTTGAAAAACGTCTCAAATTTAACAGGAGGCAGATCAGTTGATCATTTGTGGAGTGTAGTTGGGGAACCTAGAACAAAGCTAGCTTGTGGTAGATTATGAGGAATTGATCCACTGCATCACTTGAACAAGGACCACTGAATCACAAAATTCCTATGCTATAACCAGGTGGCCACACTGTTTTTTGTGTATTCTATCATCAATATAAAATTGTTTTTTTTTTCTTTGGTAATACAGATCTCTGTTTGGAGACGATTCAGTGACTTCAAGAAACTCCACAGAGAGCTTTTAAAGATTTACACTCAGAAACATGCACAAGACAAGTTTCCTCCTTTTCCTAAGGCCACATTCTTTGGTAGGTTAACTCTTTAACTCCCATGAGTGACCAAGACAGAATTTCTCCTCACAATGTCAATATTACATCAAGCATATGAGTGATGAGAAAAAAGAAGAATTTCAATAGGGGGATCATTTGTTGATCCAGTACCAAATTCTCAAAACTGATCTCATAAGAACTGTATGGCAAACAGTAAAGCTAATGAGATTTTTGGAGTGAAAGGGCTCTCTCATTTATTCCTAGCATCATGATCAAAGTACTAAAACATATTTTTGAAGGCTGTTCTTGATGCATCTACAGACTGAAGAAAAATGTGTCAAATCTTTTAGCACATTTCACTTTGTTTTTGGACATAGATTTAATCATAGCTGTCATACAATAAAATTGACAACCAAAAAGGACAGCTATGAGAGAGAAGATTATCCAGATACAGGTTCTGTTACATGCCTCATCAATCTTTTGGCTCCTAGAAGTGACCAGTACATAGATTCTCAGTACATTGCTTGACACAGTGTCATGCTTGCTTACACATGTAATTAAAATGAAGAAAGAAAATTGTTCATCAGGGGGAATGGTCATGGAATGACATCAATTTCTTAGCAAAGAAATGTAAGGTTATTCTTTTGGCAAGGAGAATTAACTTTTGGGAGTTAAACCTTTAATTCTCAGAAGTGATTAACATGAAATTTCTCCCTATAATAACCATACATTATTAAGCAAACAGGTAATGAGAATATTCAAACTAATCAGGTGGAAGTTGTTATCTTGATCTGACACCAAATTCTTGTAACTAATTTACAAGGAGATGTGTTGCAGCTAGAGGGGAGAATTAACTATCAGATCTTGGTACTTAAATGGTCAGAGGGTCTAAAGAAGGTAGATAAGGTTAATGGTATTTTCTGGCTGTGCATGCTGTTAACACTAATAATGAGCAGTGTTGTCTTAGGTAGAGTGTCCCTTACAATCTATGGTCCACATGAATTTCTCGTTCTAAAAACTTTCAAACCAGTTATGTCAATGGGCGTGAATATAGAAGCAACTGAATTCAGTAAATACATTATACTGTAGGTCGTTTTGACGATGCAGTTATTGAGGAAAGAAGGAAAGCTTCCTTAGAACTTTTGACATTTGCTGGAAGTATTCCTGATCTCTTTACAAGCCAAACATTTGTGAAGTTCTTTGAGGTATGTGATCATAAATTTTGTTAACATGAATTTATCTTAATATTACTTTAAATTTGTGGCAATTCTATGAATACTTCTGTTAACCCCTAAGAATGACTGGCTTCTAATTTCTCCTAACAGTGTCACTCCTGAATAAAATGTTAAGGTCACGAGAATAAAGAAAATGATCACCAACTTTTAGGAGCTCCTGAATGTCAAACAAAATTCAGGTCGTCATTCCCCTAACAAATGCCAAGTGGTCAGTGAGGAGGAGAATATGAGTACTGATGTAAAGGTGTAAAGGGTTAATGATACTATCATAGACTGGTTTCGCTTTTCGTTTTCAGAAATTCATCTTTACCATGTAGAGAAAGTATAATAATAATTACTCATTTGTCAATGGAGATTACTCCAGCCTGAAGGTTTTTTTTTTCTTAATTCCATTCTGTATTTATATATCTTAGGGGGCATTCCCTGACAACCAAGTTCACAATGATTGTGTTGCAAGCAGAGAAAGTAGCTTATCTGACACAGAAGGTGACATTATTAAGGACAGTTCCTCTACCAAAGACTCAGTAGATACCAGTAGATCTGGTAATACGGTTCAAAACTCACAAGGGGATAATTCTGAAGAGTCATCCATTCTTGGTGGAGTGTGGCTTCACAAGCAGCCATCTCTGTCAGAGGGTCTAGACATACTTAGCTCAGATGAAGAGGAAATTGATGGACAGACACCAGATGGTGATGCAAGCATTGGAACGCCGCCAGCTCTTACTGAACAGTCAAGTGGGAAAGCTGATCAGAATGAGAGAGAGGAACAAGATGATGTTTTTACCCATGATATCAATGCAAGTTTAGAAGAAAAACTTGAAGATGTGTCTGACAAACATGATCGTTCAAGTAGCACAGAGCCTCCTCGTTGGCTTGTGAGAGCAATTTCCATTTGTAGTGAGGGAGAGGATCTTGAAATTCTTGCTTCTGAAGCTGATGAAGAAGAACTGAGTTTTCCTCAAGCTTTTTCTGACCACAGTCATTGTGAGATAGAGGAGCAGAGTACTGTCGATGACTCAACAAGACAAGAGGAAGGAAATCAATGTACCAATTCTCAAAATGATCCTCATCTACAAGAAGTTTTATCAGATACCTCAAAGTCTTTAGACCAAGGTTCCAAAAGTAATAACTTAATGTCAATTGTATGTGAAACTGGAATGAACTGCAAGACAGAAATGATTCATGGCAAGACATCACATTCAACCAATGATGATCCTCTAGAACCTTCTGATTCTTTGTGTTCAACAAAGGATTCAAATTCAGCTAGTACCGTAGATGACAGACAGTCATTTATAGGTGTCAAGAGAGATACAGGAAACAACAAAATAGTACGCCCAAGAACTGTTTCTGATCTGACAAACATCTGCATTGATCCTAAAGAAAGTGACTATTTGTATGCTGCAGGACACACTATACACAAGGCACTAGACTGTGAAGTGAATGGGAATTATGAAGAGGCATTCAGCTTGTACAAGACTTGTGTTGGTGTATTATTGAGTGGTGTACAAGGTACTTTTATTATAAATGAAGATCACAAAAAATTCAATAACACATAGAATAAGTGGAAAGCCCCCCTTGCTAAATCAATAAACCCCTCACTCTCTCCTCCCTGCCACTTGAAAAGAAAACAGTATTTGTTGTAAGTTATTTTTTGATCTGGGTAGAATACATGTAGCATTTACCTGCAACTGATAGCGTTTGACTTATTATCTAGTTGTTGTTTTGAATGTTACTTTACTGGTGATGTGTTTGATTGTGAACTTTTTTTTTTAACTTACAATAGTTTGTGCCTAGAGAGTGAAAGAAAGTGAGATTGCAAAAACATTTGGCTATTTTTCTTAAGGTGAAAAGGATGTTAAAAGGCGAGAGGCAGTGAGACGTAAGACTGCTCAGTACCTGTTGAAAGCAGAAGCTCTTTACAGCACATACCTAGCTGGAAATGATTCTTATGAGAAATCTGAGGTACATGTAACTACTAATTGGTTAACTTAAGAATTATGTAGTTATTGGAAGTGGAATTTCATAATCTTCCGCATTTAGAATCTAAGTCATAAATTTAATTACTATAAAGTGTGCACTAAATAACCTTCAACAGATTATACAGTACTGTTGTGTCAGTTTGTCTGCAAAGAATCTATTGATGTTGTATTGAAAAGTTTCAAGTTTCTCAGTTTGTTGAAGTAATGGCTAATAGATGTGTATCTTAGAGGCTTGGGTCCTCAGTAAAATGTATTTGAATTTCAGTGAATTACTTGTAAATTCCTTTGCCTGGGAAATGCTTCCCTCAACAAATAGCTGGCAAAATATTTATACACTGACAGGTTTCAAATTTAAGTTTTCAGATGAGAGTGTAGAGAAATCCACTCTTAACCTGCAAGAAAATAGGATTTTCTCTTCATAGCAAATGCAT